CTCTGCCCCACTGCCAGCCAGATCCTCGGCCCGTTTTTCCTGATCTTCTCCCTGCTGTGGTCCAGGCCGTTCTCTCCCTCCTCTTCTCAAATCTTCTCCTCTTGCCCTTTAACTCCCTTGCACTTGGCTTTTTCAAATCCTCAACCTTATTTATCACCACGTGAGAGGATTCAGTTGTAGACACAGTTAGTGCACGCTCAGCCATGCGGGGTTGGAGAGAGAATTCTTTTCGGGGAGAGGGAGGAAACTGCTCCTTACTCAGTCTGCCTTGGTTCTGTGCCGGCACCAAGTAGCACCTGGTCCTCCCAGTATCTCTGTGCAAGAGATATCTCTGTCCCACTCCAGAGTTGAGGAAATTCCACTTTAGTGAGGTTAAAAGACTTGCCTAACCATGCTAACCTGGTTTCGCATCACTCTGTAGGATTTCAAGATATATGCAAAGGCCGTCCATTCTGGGTCCCTGGGCTCTGGAGAATCTCCTGCCCTGTTCTGAAGGGGTTTCCTCTGAGGTCTGGCCTCAGACTTCTCTCCTCTAGGCTCCCCTCCTTTGGACTACTCCACCAGCACGTCCTGCATCCAGTCTGAGGCCAAGTGTGCCTGAAGGCATTGGTTCACCCCTCCACCCTAAAGAAGGCCCCAGGTCAGGCCTTTGGGTCCTGGCGCCCCGCCGCCTCATCAGCCCCACCCCCACGCCCCGGCCAGCTCAGTGAGAACAGCCCCTAGAAACTCCCTTTCCTCTCAGCTTTCCACTCTAAGCACCTACTCCTGAGCCCTCTTGAAGGCTGGGCTGGTTTCCCAGAATATTCCTTGAAATTTTAGTTACTGAACAATTAAATGAAAATCTCTAGGCATAGGGCCAAAACATTAGAATTTCTTTGTAAGTTCCCCCAGAAGGCGCTAAGGTGCAGCCAGGGTTGGGAAGCACACCCAAAGGTACCTTGCTTGTCAGTCCATAGCTACTTTGGGGGACTAAGATATTTTGCAACAGGGAGGGAAGGCTGAGTTCTCATTTTCTGTTTGCTTCTGTTAGCCCTGAGTCCTGCCCACCCTTCAAGTCTGATAATGCCTCATTGTTCATTAGGAAGAATGCTGTACACACCTTTGGTTCAGGGCATCAGTCTACAGATCCCGTTGACTCACTGTTATCAGTTGATAAGCCTATGCCTCTTGCTCAAAATATCAAATAGGAGACAGGGTGGCTAAAAGAGAAACCTACCTTCTTTGGGAGCAGGTTACATATCTATTGAGAAGGATTAGAATCTCAGATAGTAGAATCTTCCAGGTGGAAAGGAAGTTCAGGCCACCATCATGCATCTAATGGTAATTAGGAGACATAGGGGGGTTCTAACAATGAGTGATGGAGAACATTTCCCCCCACTTCCTGGCACCTGCCTCCATCACAGCCCCCACTCTCCAAAGAACCCCCACAGATTCTCCAAAGTAGGGAAGACCTTGGTTCATCCATCTAGGCCCAGAGTTGGGCTCTGACAGTGGCCCCACAAAATATAAACCAATGTTGTATCTTCTCCAATCATAGGATAAAAAAGGGGGTAGGAGTAAGCTGAAAAGCAATTGTAAGAAATAAAAAGGAGCCTAGGGTCAGGATAGACCCTTGTTTTTCAAAGCAGGTGCCAGTGTTTAAAAGAAATGTAGCAATCAAGAGAGAACAGGAAAGAAATGAAGCCTTGTCATACAAACCTGATCCAGTGGAGGCAAAAGGGCATCTGAGGGCCTGAAGCAAAGGACAGGCTGGCCAGGGCTCCAGGACCCAAGGGCTCCTGTGGCCCAGCAGCAGGTCCCCACACCAGACAAACACAGTGCTTTCACCTCCACCCTGGCAGCATCATTACCCTTCTGATCCAACAATGATCGGGAAGGCCTTGTACCTCAGCCACAGCCACGGCATCTAGGTGATACGTTCTCAGGGATAAATAGTAGAACCACTCAATCAAAAGAGAACCAGTAACCCCACACCTGCCAAGAGTTTGGAATAGTGTAAGTTTTCATAGAATGAGTAAGGAACATCCTTTATCCTACTTGGTTAATATTGTTTGTTTGTTTGTCTGTTTGGTTGGTTGGTTGATTGGTTGGATGGTTGGTTGATTGACTCTGGGTTGTTTTGTAACCAGATGCCTTGCCAGGTGCTTCTCAAAAGGAATAAATGATTTTGTTCTCTGAATAGCTTAAGGCTTAAAATATCAGAATAAGAGCAGTTTTGAAATCTCTAACAGGTTCCTGGGTAGATTTGAAGTTTATCAGAGGGCCCATGGTGATAAGATGGAGAGAAAGTCAAAGTCCCTTCCTCTTCTCATATGTCCAGATTTCTGGTAGTAACACAATAACAGAACAGCCTGAAGATGTTTTCTGAAGTCTGGGACTGCCCCATAAATGTTCCCTCCATAGCTTTCCTGAACCGTAGGCTTACAGCTTAATTGTGTGTATTAAAGAGAACTAGAACCATACTATGAGCTATTGTCAGGAAGTGGTTCTTCTATTATGATTACTTAGCCAAGGTACATCCAAGGTGAAGAGAAATTTGAGGTTCAAGATTTCCAGTAAAATATAATCTTCCCAGGTTGTAAACTGTCTGAAGACAGAGATTATTTCTCATGAAACTGTATATACCTCCTACAGTATCTGGCAAAGGGTTTTAAGATAATTTGAGTTTATAGATTCTTGAATGAATGAGTGAACTTCATGGATGAGCATATGAATATGTTACTGTATGGCTGTGGGAGCACCCCAACATGTGCTGGACAAGCTGAACCAACATGGTTCTCGTTCTCTTTAATACACAAAGATGTAAATGAATACACAAGTAGATGACAACTGTTTGCATTTGTTAATGAGGGAATGAATGGGGTGTTTGTGTCTGGCATTCTGTGGGGCCATCAAAGCCATTGGGCAAGGCTTTGGAGAACACAGGGTGACATGCCAGACCCCTTCCATATGCGGAGGGCCACTCCAAGGCCCTCGTGAGTTCTCTTTGCCTTCCTGGAGTCACACAGCGCTAGTGCCAGAACTTGACTGCAAGCCCAAGATGTCAGTGTTAACAAATTCTCCACATCAGGCAAGCCCATAAACCAACACATTCACCCTGGGACTATAGTTGCAAATAGGACCAAGACTGATAATGGCCACTTATAGAATTCTCTTCCCAGCACAGAAGTAAAGTTAAAATCAGAGGTTTCTTTGGGGAGAAGAGAACCATAATCATCTGAATGGAGGTCAATGGCATAGAACTAGAGCAGCTGGATACCATCAATCAACTTTACACAGGGAAATGCCTGGTGAGAAAGTTGCCAGGGCCTCCATTCCTCAGATACTGCAGAAGACTAACAAATTCTACATGACTGCCCTCTCCCTTTTCAATACGTTTCACTGATCACCAATTCATCCAGCAGGACAAATTGCCTTGTGATACACACCTTAAAATGAATCAGCTGGCCATTCCACTGATATTCGCCATATTTGAGATGGAAATCTTCCTGAAGAGATTGGAGAACATTCTCTCTCAGGGCTCCCTTGTCTTGAGAGTGACATTTATAAATAATCTCCTGGGATAGGTTATTCCCTGAGATGATTTTTGAAGAAAATTCCTTTATACATTCTTAGCATCTATTTCAGGGGATGGCATAATATGGCCAAGTCTCCAAGTTTGGAGGATGCATTCTGTTAGGAGCTTGCAGATCCTTGTACCTTGACAGCAGCCAGAATTTGGCCTGTTTCTGCAGAGCAAAGTACCTCAAAGCAATGGACTGTGATAGCAAAGTCCATTTTGAGACAGATCTGGATTTGATCCCCAGCTCTGTTTTTCCCTAGATATATGTCCTTGGGCAAGTTTCTTAACCTCTGAGTCTCAGTTTCTTCAACTGTGAAATAGAAGTAATAATACTACCTACATTACAGGGTTTTTTTTGTGTCTGGATTAAATTTCTTAAGGTCTTACAAGCCCCTAATTGCTCTCCATCAAAAGTAGCAATTGGCTGTGACAACTAGGGTAGATGGAACTCTCTGCTTTGCTTCCCACAGTTCTTCAGTTCTTCCCTACCAGAACTACCCACAGTAGGGGCCTTTCCATCTGGAAGACAGAAATCACTCATTTATCTTCCTTTTGTAGAAGTCATTAGGCTAGTAGTTGTTGTGTTTAATGACTGTCTTTCCCAGAGACCATGTTTGACCTGTTAATTGCTGTCATCCCCATGCCTAGTTATAGGAGCTCCATATAAACCACTGAGATGAGACACTGCACTTCCAAGATGCACTGCAAGCTACTTTGGATATGTCTGAAGGAGAGGTCACTACAGGAGCATGACCTACATCCTCCATAGATTCTTGGAGAGGGTGCAACTGAAAAACTGGTCATGTTGAAGGGCCTGCAATTGATAGAGTCATCTTTTTATATATACCTAAAACTTATAGCTCACCATGACCTTAATAGTTCCTTTGGAAAGAGGCAAAAATATAGTACCCTTGGTATATCACCTAGTTACTTTGCATCCTTATATGCTAAATAAATACTGGGTTTTCCTAAGGTGGACACAACTATATTAAGCAATGGGCCAATATGAAATGACTAGAGAATGTATTTGGGTTAGGAATCAAAGCACCACAGTTCTCCTGTAAGCTCTTTCAATACTTTTTAATGTCACCTGAGTCAAGCCATTTTACCTTCCTGGACCCCAGATTACCAAGCTTTAAATTGAGGAAATAAAATAGCTAAATTCCATTGTTCCTCCCAACTCCAGTGGTCCATAATTTTCTCAGCGTGAATATATCTGTGTGCATGTCCTTCACAATTAGAGGACTGTAAATGATGGGTTTGCATTTCCCACAATTCCACATCCTCTGACAATGACAAGGTTCACATTTTAAAGACTTGCTGTACCTTGGAAGTTTGGTGCTGGCTGATTGTAGCTGCTTTGCTTTATTAAACCAGAGCCTAATCAAACATGGTGAGGTGGTCTTACCTGCCCACTGTCTTTCCCTTTGTCGCACAGCTATGCTGCAGGCAGTGCGAGCCCTGATGATCGTGGGCATTGTTCTGGGTGCCATAGGCCTCCTGGTGTCCATCTTTGCCCTGAAGTGCATCCGCATTGGCAGCATGGAGGACTCTGCGAAAGCCAACATGACACTGACCTCTGGGATCATGTTCATCATCGCAGGTAAACAAGGAGCCTGGGGGCCCTTTTTCAAATGTGCTTCTGGGAATGTCAAAGCAAAATTATTCTGGCAGAGAAACATTTTTCTCCCTATTGAGCATGGTTTGAACATGAATCACAGCCTTACACACTGAGATTCAATATCTGAGATTAAGATCCAGTTGTACTCTACAGGGTTAGCATGAGGGCTAAATTCCCTTAGCTGCCACCCCACCGCATTAAGAGATTCCCAACCTTAAAGTAGTCATTTGACTCAATCCCTAAAGCCATTATTTTGGTAAGACTCTATAAAATGATTTTAAGGCAAGAGCTCTTGACATCATCAAAGAACAAGGCCCCAAATATTTGTACTATTAGTCACTGGTCCCAAGATGCAGGGAAAATCTCCTTCTGGACACATACAAGCCCTTCCACAATTAGAGAGATGAGAATCCAAGCACCGAGCATAGTGCCTAGTATATACTGGGAAGTCAATAATCAATGTTTAGATTGACAGACCTGCTCTAGGAATGGAATATTCTGCAGCCTGCTCATTTATACACCTTTAAGCATACAGTGCCTCAGAAACATTGTGATCCCTGATTCTGGAGCTTTCTGGTCCTTTGTCCACAGGTCTTTGTGCAATCGCTGGAGTGTCTGTGTTTGCCAACATGCTGGTCACTAATTTCTGGATGTCTACAGCCAGCATGTACACCAGCCTGGGTGGGATGGTGCAGACTGTTCAGAACAGGTAACCTCCTAATCTAGTTTCAGTAGTCCATCATGAATATTGTTGTAAAAATCTGATTAAACACATATGCCTAATGTGGCTGTCAGTGCCTGAAAAAGCAAAAATTATCAGAGGCAACCATTCCTTATCGTAAATCAAGAATGATCTGTAAATTCATAAACTTCATTTCAGTGAAATATCCTTGGTGATATGACTGGAGGCTGATCTGACATTTGCACTGAAATACAGTGACAGTTCACAGTATTTATCTAACACTCTTACACAGGCCCTATTGTGTGGCAATGAAACTGACACTATTAGCTCAGGCATGAAAATGAGCATCAACCCATGTCTCCATTCCATGATGGGAACGTGACTAGGGACAGGTAAAAGCCTGAATAGAAATGAGCACGATGCAGTCTTGGTAACAAAAGTAATGTTACTTCCTGGCACAGCTGCCTCCTCCTCTCATTCATTCATTCATTCATTCTACAAGTGTTACAGAGCACCTGCTATGGGCCAGGAGCTCTTATGAATGCTGGCAATAAAGACAAGGCCCCATTCTCACAGAGGTTACAGTGTAGCAGAGGGAGATGAAACTCCAATACAATTTGGTGTCTGAAGGAGGGTAGGACTGTCAAAAGATGGCAGAGCAATTCTAACACCTGCATGCATTTAGCTACTTCAAAGAGACGTGTTTCATAGCAAGAAGCTGTAGCAAATTCCTGAAGGAGAAAGATCTTGTCCTGGGAAATTGATGTAAATATTTTACCTCAGTGACACATCATCTCCAGAGTGGATACATTTGGCATTTCTCCAGCCACACCATCGTGGGATGTGTGTGACAATGCAATAAACCCATCACTCTTTGGATCCCTGGAGCTCCAAACCCTATCTATGTTCCTGCTTTGTTTTATGAATGGGAAGGAAGTGATCCCCATAAGCTGCCCTCATCCTCCTCCATGTTCATCCCATGGTCTCTTTGTTACAAGGGCAATTTAGATATTCGCTGACCAACTCATCCTGGCTTTCCTGGGACTCCCCCAGTTTTAGCACTGAAAATCTCAACTCCTGGGAAACTCCCCTATCATGGGCAAATCAGGATGATTGGTCAGCCTACTTAGAAGTACCCACCTTGTCTGGAGTATCTGGGTGCCTACTGTCACAGCCTCTGCCCAGAGGAGTCACCCGCCCACCTGGCATCCTGCACTAATGCCCACCATCACTCTCTCACACCGTCTCACGAGAACCTGCTCCTGGCCCTCAGGCAGCCAATGTCAGTCCTGAGACGGAAGCTGTAGAGCTCTGAAAGGGCTCCGGCATCTTCCTCCATGGATGGGCAGCTGTTGGTCCTCTTCTTTCTGTCTTCTCATCTTCTCTACCCAGAAGTCACACAGCACAGCATAGCTTCCAAGAGAGATCTTGGCAGTCAGTGGATGGGGCTTTGGCTCTGATGCCCTGTTTGGTCCCCATATGCCCTCCTCTGCCATTGCTGCACTGAGTGTAACTGGAGTCTGAGCTCTGGACCAGAGCTACAAACTGCCTTCCTTCATGCTGTACACAGTTTGTGAGGTATTTTGTATTAACCTAACCATTTCATTTTATAACCTGAATTAATCACCAACTTTTAAAAATTAGAAGTGTCACAGGTTGGGTCACACAAACAGATCCTGAGAAACAGATGCTGAGGATCCAGGTGCCAGTAATGTCTTCAGGAAGGGGAAGCTGGGTAGGGATTGGGGGTGCCCTTCAGATGAAGTCTGGGACTCAGGCCTGATCCCAGGGAGCTGGGGGGCATGAATTACATCTCAGAGGTGCCTGGACCCAAACTGCCAGAGTTCAGCACTGTCAGTCTCTGTGCCTGTGGTTAAAGAGGCTCCAGTGGCTGAACCAAAACCAGAACTCCAGGGGGAATCATGGGGCCAGAAGCAAAGAAAAAAGATTCCAGGAGCTTAGAAAGAAACTCAGAAATGGTTAAAGGGACAGAAGGAACCTGGACAAAGCACATCAGTGCCTATTATGGAGATTTCATACCACAAACACACACACACACACACATATCTATTTTTCCAATTTCTTATTTTTAAAAAATCAAATATCTGGTAGCACTGGGCTCTCATTCTCATATGGCAACAGTCTCTGCAGCTGAGAGGCAGCTCAGCTCCCCAGTTTGCCACAGTCCCCACCACTCTCAAATGACCCAACTCTGAAGCTGCTTATCCTCATGTTTGTGGGTCACACCATCGTGGGATGTGTGTGACAATGCAATAAACCCATCACTCTTTGGATCCCTGGAGCTCCAAACCCTATCTATGTTCCTGCTTTGTTTTATGAATGGGAAGGAAGTGATCCCCATAAGCTGCCCTCATCCTCCTCCATGTTCCTCCCATGGTCTCTTTGTTACAAGGGCAATTTAGATATTCGCTGACCAACTCATCCTGGCTTTCCTGGGACTCCCCCAGTTTTAGCACTGAAAATCTCAACTCCTGGGAAACTCCCCTATCATGGGCAAATCAGGATGATTGGTCAGCCTACTTAGAAGTACCCACCTTGTCTGGAGTATCTGGGTGCCTACTGTCACAGCCTCTGCCCAGAGGAGTCACCCGCCCACCTGGCATCCTGCACTAATGCCCACCATCACTCTCTCACACCGTCTCACGAGAACCTGCTCCTGGCCCTCAGGCAGCCAATGTCAGTCCTGAGACGGAAGCTGTAGAGCTCTGAAAGGGCTCCGGCATCTTCCTCCATGGATGGGCAGCTGTTGGTCCTCTTCTTTCTGTCTTCTCATCTTCTCTACCCAGAAGTCACACAGCACAGCATAGCTTCCAAGAGAGATCTTGGCAGTCAGTGGATGGGGCTTTGGCTCTGATGCCCTGTTTGGTCCCCATATGCCCTCCTCTGCCATTGCTGCACTGAGTGTAACTGGAGTCTGAGCTCTGGACCAGAGCTACAAACTGCCTTCCTTCATGCTGTACACAGTTTGTGAGGTATTTTGTATTAACCTAACCATTTCATTTTATAACCTGAATTAATCACCAACTTTTAAAAATTAGAAGTGTCACAGGTTGGGTCACACAAACAGATCCTGAGAAACAGATGCTGAGGATCCAGGTGCCAGTAATGTCTTCAGGAAGGGGAAGCTGGGTAGGGATTGGGGGTGCCCTTCAGATGAAGTCTGGGACTCAGGCCTGATCCCAGGGAGCTGGGGGGCATGAATTACATCTCAGAGGTGCCTGGACCCAAACTGCCAGAGTTCAGCACTGTCAGTCTCTGTGCCTGTGGTTAAAGAGGCTCCAGTGGCTGAACCAAAACCAGAACTCCAGGGGGAATCATGGGGCCAGAAGCAAAGAAAAAAGATTCCAGGAGCTTAGAAAGAAACTCAGAAATGGTTAAAGGGACAGAAGGAACCTGGACAAAGCACATCAGTGCCTATTATGGAGATTTCATACCACAAACACACACACACACACACATATCTATTTTTCCAATTTCTTATTTTTAAAAAATCAAATATCTGGTAGCACTGGGCTCTCATTCTCATATGGCAACAGTCTCTGCAGCTGAGAGGCAGCTCAGCTCCCCAGTTTGCCACAGTCCCCACCACTCTCAAATGACCCAACTCTGAAGCTGCTTATCCTCATGTTTGTGGGAGGTTTTTCCCCCATATAACAGAGTTAATAAAGTGAAATCTTTTTATACCCAGCCCACTTCACTTATTTAAGTTTTTTACTTATCCCAAATAAGTATTTAAGTTTTTTAACCTTGACCAAGAAGGTCTAAATTGAGGAAAGGGACTGAATGCACAAAAGATAGATTCATGATTAACAATGAGGCTTTGGAGGCAGAGGGACCTGCATTTGAATTCTGACCATGCTATGTCCTTCCTGGGTCTTTGGAAAAGTTACTTAACCTCTCTGGGCCTCAAATTCCTCATCTGTAAAGTAGGTGTAATAAATCCTATCCCAGTAGCTATTGAGAGAATTAAATGAAATTCTGATAAAAGTGGCTATAGCAGTGTCAGTAGGGGCCCAATAAATAGTGACTGTTGTTACGATTAACATTATACAGTCTCTCAACCATCTATGGGGATATCAAGGAGAAGGCCTCTGTCTGTGCCTGGGCAGAGACCAAGGCTGCCCCAGGAGATTCACTGCGGATCCCGCAAGGGTCCCCAGGTACAGGTCAGCTGTTAAGTCCACAGCTACACTGAGAGGATAAGAGGGCAGGATAAGGATCTTCATTCGAAGGCAAGAGCCCTCAAACCAAATATCTGCCTTTTCCTAGTCCAAAGGAAGTAAAAATAGCCTACAGATAAATTTTCTCCCAGAGCTTTTCCAAGGTCCGAGCTCCATCTGCCAGCTTTGCTCTTCACATTACACTAGGTCATTAGGCTTATATTGTTTACTTTGATCTTGCTAAAATATTGTGCTTTTTAAGCACATCTAAAGTACCTTATTTTCTTAGGTTGCAGAGGTCTGCACACATTATTACTGTCTTTCTTCCTGGTATAATGCTCTTACTTTGTGATTATAAACATACCAGTGATTCTCTCTGTTGCACAGAGAGCCCCAGGCTCTCTGAGGAACACAAAGGGAAACCTCCATGGGCAGGTACCCACCGTGCTGAGCTCTGCTTTTCTGCAGGGGAGCTACCATTGAAATGCCTGCTAACATGCCAACACTTTTTGTCATTGAAGATTTCATCATTCTCTCCACCAGCTAAATGTCGATTTAAAATCAGAAATCTTTTATTCTCAGGAGACTTTTTTCTCAGACAATCCTGTTCTGATGTAACTGAGTCCCGTTGCAGACAGCCCTCCCAGGGGAAGGGTGCCAGCTTTGCAGTGAGACCACCACAGGTCAGCAGTCCACTGTGGGCTGGAGCAGAAGCACCATGAGGATGGCATCTGGGTCTGTCTTTTTCACCCTGGTGTCCCAATACAAGGCACTGCATAGTAGGAGCTCAGTAAATACATGTTGAATAAATAAGTAAACAAATGAATGAAAGGATGCATGGTCACTTCACATTAGTTCTTTCTGAATATAATGCTTCTACCTGCATGGATGGTTGCCAGGGTTACTTGAGTTAGGAAAGATGAAAGCTTCTTGGCCCATAAGAACTCAAGGGACCAAAATTCCTTAAGAAATAATAACTTGAGACTGATTTCATCTCTCTCGAGCTTCTCTTGCCAAGCCTTTAAGACACTCCCCTTTGCCAATAGGGAGGGAGGGGGATTTCCTGTAATGTCTTCTGAGATTAAAGACATAATTAATTCTATGCTTGAGTGATGCTAAGGGCCCAAGAATCCCACTGCTCTTTTGCTCACTAACCGCAGTCCCAGTTCTGTTCTGCAGGGCACATGATCAGCTGGCTGTGATCCAGAGGAGCACGTCTTGGGGGGTGAGGCAATGTGTGGAGATTGGCATGGAATCCAAAAGTGGGGGTCAGAGAGTCTGCATGGCCAGGGGCAGTGGGTGGAGCCTGGAGAGTTGAGTCAGTCACGTTCATAGCCATATCTCCCCACGCAGGTATACTTTTGGTTCAGCTCTGTTCGTGGGCTGGGTCGCTGGAGGCCTCACGCTAATTGGGGGTGTGATGATGTGCATCGCCTGCCGGGGTCTGGCACCCGAGGAAACCAAGTGAGTCCCCCAATCTGAATGCAATCAGGCATTTGATCCTAGTCCATTTTAAAGTATAATTTCCAGCCAGAATGATCAGCTTACATATATAGAAGAATTTCATAGACTAAAGGGTCATGAACCTTCTTTTACAGGGAACTAAAGAACAGAACAAGAGTATTTCAGCCTGAGTAGCTTTAGGAGTGATCCTATTTGAAGGAAAAAAAGAAAACATCCTTCTAGGTTCCCTCTGACTCCAGTATTCTGCAACTCAATGGTTCTCAGCTGGGAGCAATTTTGCCCCCCAGGAGATATTTGGCAATATCTGAAGACTCTTTTGATTGTTGCCACTTAGGGCTGGAGGTGTGGAAGACCTAGGCATCTAGCAGGTGGAGGCCAGGGAGGCTTCTTAACAACTTGAAATGCAAGGGCCAGCTCCCAGCCCCATAGCAAGGAAGCATCTGTTCCAAATGTTGGTAGTACTGCTGCTGAGAAATGGACCTGCAGTTCGGATCCCAGTCTGGTGCCACAGGTTCTATGGCACTGTGACCTCTAACAAGCCATTTGCCCTCCCTGGGCCTTAGTTACTTGGTTACCTTATCCATAAACTGAGCAGATTACAGGTGGTGGGCTGGATGTAAGGACCTTCCAGCCCACAAATTCTATGATTCTTTGGCATAACTATGTTCCCCTGGACATTGTTTCTGGTTCAGCTTCATTTTAATTGATTAACAGAGGGCATTTACTCGTTACTAACCACCAGCTCTAAAACAAAGCCAGAAATTCTGCCCCACTGCAGGATTCCCAAAGCCTAGGTTGTCCAGCTGTCTCCATTTGCCCAAGACTGAGGACTTTCCTGGGGCATTGGGCCTGCCATGCTAAAACTGAGACCTGCCGGGGTAAGTGGGGCGGTTTGGCCTCCTTCCAGATACATCTGTTGTCATGGAATGTTTTCTTTTCTTTCAGCTACAAAGCAGTATCTTATCATGCCTCCGGCCACAATGTCTCCTATAAGCCTGGAGGCTTCAAGGCCAGCACTGCCTTTGGGCCCAACTCCAAAAACAAGAGGATGTATGATGGGGGAGCTCACACGGAGGATGAGGTACAATCTCATCCTTCCAAGTATGACTACGTGTAGCACTCCAAGACATGTCAGCACAGGCAGAAGACACCCCCAATGAGAGGTCCCCCATAAAACAAGGACATTTTTCCTTGATTCGCAATTGCTTTGGACTCACAGTTGGAAGTTAGAAAAGCCTTGATTTCACCTGTGGTGAGGCCAAAGGGTCTTGGCTGCATGTATCTGTCTCCTAAGTATTCCATCACAAAACAGCTGAGTTATCAGATGTGAATTAGAGGCTATAGCTCACATTTTCCAAACCTCTATTTCTTGTTTTTTAAATAACCTTCTTAATCTTGTTAGAAATGGCATAAAACTAAATGTGATTTATTCCCAGAGGAATTAATGTTTAAACAAAAGGGTATTAATAAGAAGCCTACATGTCAGAACATGTACCAGGGAGTCACTCTGGCTGGGAGAGGAGGGAGATTAAGATAAGAAAGATTGCGTCACTTCCCAAAAAATGCAGAAAAAGTTTTAAACAAGCCAGTAAAATTAAGACAAATGTAAAAAAAAGCCTAGTATAAATATAATTTGCTTAGGCGACATCCAGGAAAGAATGTGAACCCTGTAGTACTCAGCCAATGAGGAACCAGGGGAGGGACTTGCAGGCTAAGGAATAAATTGCTCGTGATAACCGCCCCGAGTGCTCCTGCCGGCCAGACACCCAGTCTTTCAAGACCGTCATTAAAGCCTCGCTCCGCTGTTCTCTTTGACTAAATTTGGACCAGTGAGAGCGTTTCTCACAATCTGATGACAGAATGTGTTTTAAATTCCTATAAGACAATAGCCCATTGATTATCTATTTCCCAACTCATCCCCTAGAACAATTCTGAAGGGAAAAAAGGAGAGTCAATCAAAAGGCATCATTTTCTGCTATTTGATTTTTGTCTCCCTCCCCACAATCTGGCTACTAATAAATACTGAATGAAGGAAAGGTGATACGGGAAAGATATTTATAATGTCCCCCAGCTCATTATCTGAGTTTTTGTACACCGTGATCTTGATTGTTACCTGAACTGAAGCGATTTGAGTTTGAGAAAACCAAGTCTTTTTGCTGCTTTTGGCATCTGCTGATTCCAGCAAGACTCTCCCCCAGGCTTCCTGGGCTCTTCACTGCAGGTCCTTTTTCTGCCACAGGCCAGAAAGTGTCCCTAGAAGGCTGAAAAATGAATTTTTTTTGTCAACCTGAATATATTTGGTATTCTAAATGTAGTTAGAACAAATAATGTATTAGTGAAATGACACACTGTCTCTGTGAAATAGCCTCACCTGTGCACGTGGATAGAAGAAAATGAAAAAAATAATTGCTTTGATGTCTATATTTTACTTTGTAAAACCACACTCAAGTCGTAATTTCACAAGTGCTCACTGATCCTAATTCTTTCCCTTTGAGGTCTCCAGGACTCTTGACTATGCATGATAGTCAGTGCAACCCATTTAAAAGCCAAATAATGGAACACAGCAAGTCCTAGGAAGGGAGTTGAAAGCAGTTCTTTAAAAAAAAAAGCAATGAGCCTGAATGTAATGTTATGCTTCCAAGTGACACTTGTCTGCACTTGTCCAGCTACAGGCCCCTGTCAGTTGACAGTAGCACTTATTAGGCACTGTGGTCAGCTTTGTTACTCTGACAGCTGGTCCTTCCCTTCGTTAAATTCACCTACAGTGGTTGGACTGTTGGATGTTCAAGAACTGAAAGTGCTTTGCAGCCACACACCTTCCCTGGGTTTGCATCGCGGCTGCAGAGAGCCTAACCTCCTTCCTCCAGGCCACCGGAATTCCACCCCAGCACAAAGCCGGATGCACCCGCCCTGGGGCAATCTAACCACTGGGTCATTATTTGGGAAAACAAAAGTCCTCACACCAACAGTGCCTATGAAAGGGACCTCTAAGGAGACAGGTGGATGTTTGCAGGGGTCTTCAGGCTGGACAGACTATGTCTGAGGAAAGACCAGATCGTGGCTCATTAAACAAAGGAATTGGGTGCACCGAGAGCCAAAATAAACTCGGAGACTCTTCACCGAGACAGCCATGCTTTTAGACCAACTCAGTAAAGTACTCATGGAACTCATTGTCTGAGAGGGGATAAGAAATAAGCAGATAAATCGGTTCAAGAAATTAAAAAAAAAAAGCAAGGGTGTCGGAGAAGGAAGCTGAGCAATCTAGGGCATGGAGATTATTAAGGGTTCTTGGGATTTGAGTTGAAGGTCATGGGGTACAGCAGGCTCTCCCTTCTACCACCAGAAAGTCCCTGATTGGGTCTGAGGCACTGTGGTGTGCCTAGGTTGGGTTTTAAGTTAGCATATTTTCTATCCAACACTTAATTGCTTGAAAGCCTTCATGTAATTAGATAGTGCTTTGTAATTTTTTTGTTGTTGCTTGGTCTTATTGTATATGCATTGAGTATTGACCTGCATGTTTTGTTAAATATTAAAAATATTGTTATATCACACGAACAGCTTCTGCTCTTTTTTCCTACACTTTGGGAAGTTAAGGTGGGAATCTCAGCACCTCAAAACTGAGGGCACCTTCCTGGAGTGTTTCTGCTTGCAGAATCTGTGTCTGTTCAGCAGCAGCCTGGCTGCCTGGAGCAAACTAGGTCTGATCCAGTACCAGTTAGTGGTTGCTGCAAGTTGGGAAACTGTGGAGGGCCAGAGATGATGTCACCATGGAAGGGACATCATTGGATCCCGGCACCAGGAGGTGAGATCACCGGAAGTGAGATCACTGGAAGCAGAAGTGACAACACCAGATGTGAGAGCAGTCTAGAAGTAACATCATTATGAGCTTCTGTATGTAAGTGGTGCTCAGAAAATAAACTGTGTCACTTGTCCGCCATCAGCAGGCAGTGAACCTCCTGATCCCAGCTTTGGTTTCTGTGTCTTTCTTGTATCTTTCACTGTATTTTCCTAAAGCTAGTCACTCCCACTTTATTCAGATTCAGCTGGTTTGTGGAGCTGGTCTCCGCAGGTGGCGTCCGAACAAAAACCTAAATACAGAGTGAAGGGGACCTGAGAAGACTCAGGTCTCGTGTGCACGGCTGGCACTTTCAGTGAGGAGCGGCTCCCGTTGGTGAATAGACGCACGTCTGTAAGGTATGGACTTGGTGAAGTCCTAGAGGTAGTATGTGAGTAGTAGCATCAGGAGTAAAAGTAGGGATAGCAAGGATCAAAGGGCTGTCAGACCCTTAACAATTTTTGTTTGTACGTTTAGAGCTTTAGCTATGGGTCAGTCTGGATCAAAGGTCGCTTTTTGTGCATATGCTTAAAACTACTCTTTGTGGCCATGGTATTGCTGTACTCGCCCATTAATTAGATGCTTTTCTTACTTTTGTGCAAGATACTTGCCCCTGGTTCCCTGAAGAAGGAAGCATAAACAAACAGATCTGGCAAAAGGTGGGGCAACAACACTTCACCCTTCATGGGCCTCCAGACGTTCCTCCGGAAACATTTGCCCTGTGGAATTTAGTGAAAGAAAGTTTGGACTCCTCCCCGACAGCCTCCTGTTTGCCAGATAAACCTCTTGAAGAGAACATTGTGGCTGAACAACTTAAAACAGGTGGTCACTGGCTATGAGGCGCTTGTAAAATCCACGGCCTCAGAGAGTGATGAATCTTTGCCTCCCAAATATGGGCAGAAACTAACCCAGAAGAAACAAAAATACTTTCAAAGAGAATCTGGGAGGAGAATAATAACTTGGATCCGCCTACAGACTCCCAGTCAGTGCAAACTGACCTTGGAAAGCCTAAAATAACCTCTCCTTATCTCCCGCTCCCTCCCTTTGCAAGTCTACTGCATTCTCTCTAGTAACTTGCAAACTGGGCAAGCCCATCTGTAAACTACCTAGTAGAAGGCAGGATGGATTCCATCTTTAACTTACTCTTTAGCAAACAGACAATAGGGCAACCCATAATTACATCATCACTTTGCAATTAAATATTAGTAACTAAAAAATCTTTGTATCAGTTTCTGTGTACATATTATTTTATGTTAACTGTATTAATTATGTCTTAGTCTATATGTTTATATGTCTAAATGTGTAAATAAAAAATATTTTTCTACCTCTGGATGGTATTAATAAAAATTATTTACAGACAAGCACTTGTGAAAATTGGGCATTCCAAAACTTCCAGAAATTCTAATAAAAATATTCAGCATTAATGCTAATTTAAGTTTAACTGAAACGAGCATGTCCTTATAATTATCAGCTGCCCAAGTTTACTTAAAGTCGTTTAAGTTGATGTTATCTATTAAATCTTTCAAGAAAGTGCTTTAAAGAAAGCCTTGACTTTGTCTAATGTTTGGTAAAAGTTTTATAAGTGATCTGACATAGTTGCTAAGAATGAGTAAACAAGTGTAGCAAATGAACATCTTAATAATAGTGTATTAATGTATAACTGTGTATATATCTGCAGTCTAAGAATATTTGTAGTAACCAAAATTCTTAAAGTTTTGCTAAATTATATAGACATATTCTGTGCTCAGTGAGAAATTGTGCTGTAAGGCACATTTCCAGGAATGATAAAATATTTTCATAAATGTATCAATCTGAAGAATGCTGATGTAACGATTTATAATAGCCTATTTTTCAGTGTTCACTGAAGGTTAAGGTACCAAATGGTTTTAAGTTCTAATTAAAACTACTTAATACAATAAGGAAACATTTCTGTATGCTAAAGAATGTGTGTTTGATAAGAGAAGGTATAAGGAATAGAAATGCATTGTATTGAGAGTGCTTGTTCTTAAGTACAGCTGTTTATTAAGTGCTTAAGAAAATAAGATCTCAATATTAAAAGGACTATAAGCTATGTGTTGTTAACAACCGTGTAACCCTCTGTATTTGCCTTTAAACCTTTTTATTGTCATTCTGGTTAAATAATAAGTATTATTTAATAATAATCTATAATTCTATTTAGGCAAGTGCCTTAAAAACTTTTCTTTTGACAACTTTTCAAAACCAAATTCAGAAAAGTGCTTTTACCTCTAGCTAACTCTGATATTTTCCAGAGGGCCCCTGGAACATGTCAGAGAAACTTTTTCTCCTCATTAGGGAAAATATTTGGCTAATTCAGCTTATTTATCTAATATATAATTACCTGGAAAGCACTGTCAAAGGAATAATGCTAAACTTTATTAAATGTTTTATATTACAGAAATATCCAAATAGCCTTATATCAACTGTCTTATAGTAAGTTCTCCTCATATCTTTAACCATTGTAAATTGTATGTCTTTTGTCATTTATAGTTTATTATTCCTAAATTGATAAAGAACTAGGTGCCAGCAGAGGTGTTTATCTGGGGGAGAGGTCATGCCTGCTACAGGTCCTCTCTCGCTCCCTGAACAGCTGCTCAAACATCATCATATCCTCACCCCCCTGAACTTGCAGAGGCCTGAATCCTCACCATCTCTCCTCCTCCTGTGACTGCTTTGCTGCCCATGCTCGGCTGAGATTGAGAACCAGGCTGTGATTATAATCCCACTTTTCTATTTCACTATGGGAAATTAAAGAAATCTTTCTATGAGAACTTAAGGGAAGGGCTTTATTATATACCAGATACTTAAGGGAAAACTTTCTATAATCTTTATTATATATCCATCTATTACCTTTATTTTCAATAAAGTAAAAAAGGGGGAGATGTGGATGGCCAGAGATGATGTCACCATGGAAGTGACATCACTGGATCCAGGCACCAGGAAGTGATATCACCGGAAGTGAGATCACTGGAACAGAGGTGCCAATCCCGGATATGAGATCAGTCTAGAAGTGACATCATTATGAGCTTCTGTATATAAGTGGTGCTCAAAAAATAAACTGCGTTACTTGTCTGCTATCAGCAGGCAGTGAACCTCCTGATCCCAGCTTTGGTTTCTGTGTCTGTCTTATCTTTCTCTTTATTTTCCTTAAGCTAGTCATTCCCACTCCACTCAGGTTCAGCAGGTTTGTGGAGCTGGTCTCTGCAGGAAAACTGAATAAAAAAAGATTCCCAGAGCAGCCAGTCACGTGCAGTGCGATTCAGATCAAGTTAAGCCTGTCTGACCCTGAGTGTACCAGCCCAAAGTGTCTAATGTCATTGGCTTACCCATGAGCTAGTAAAACGAGAGCCAATTCTGTCCTCTTGATGGCATCAAGGACTGGGCTCACCAGCTCAATTAGCTGTGCTCACTGAGGCAGCATAAGGCTTTGGAGACGAGCTATAGAGTCAGAACAGCCCAACCTCAAAACCACACCTTCTCCCAGCTGCGTTAACTTGAGCAAAGCATTTAACATTTCTGAGTCTTGGTTTATCTATCTATAGATTGATATAATAAGGAATAATGCAAGTAAAGGATGTATTTAAGTGACAAACACCCAGCTTGTACAACGTTAAGACAAACTGGGCATTGGCTTATGTAACTAGGATATCTGAGGCCAGGGGTGGCTTCAGGCACAGCTGGATAAAAGGAATAGGATCAGGATTATCTTTTTCTGCCCATATTTCTGTCCTGCTTCCCTTTCTGTTGGTTTGCATCTCAGGCAGTTTGCCCCCATAGGATAGCAATGATGGCTGCTCATATTTCAAAGTTATGACATCTTTCAGCTCAGGAACCTTGCCAAAAGGTGGTATCTTTCCTGACATCTGTAGGAGAAAAAAATCCTAATAAAACTCTTCAGACTATCTGAGTCCTGTATCCATCCCTAAACCTCTTCCTATAGCAGAGCAGTGGTATTCAGCTTGGGCAAGCCTGGGTCCCATACACAAAACGTGGAGTTTTCTCATGTGCCACAAATACTGTAGGCTAAGTACCCAGAGTCCTTAGAAATCAGGCAAACTCATCACTTTGCCTCATTTTTTTAACCCTTTGGTTGAACCTAAACTCCAAGAAAAGCTTCAGAGGCACAACGTGTGAATCTATTTGATCAGTTATCAAGCAGTGTAGTATTCATAGCACAGGGAGGGAGGACCTGAGAGATTACTCTGGTTCTCACAGAAAACTGATGGTTAAAACCTAAAAATGGCAAAAACTTTACATTCAATTTTAGACAAGAGGAATTATAAAACTGTTTAGTAGAAAATTGTCCTCATTACATAATTTTGAGCTATTCAAATTTAGATTTACTAAGATTAGGGGCATCTTGAAGATTCCTGTGGAAAGACAAAAATGGAGTAATCAAGTCATAATGGATGTGATCAAAATATGGCTCACAGCTGGTACCCACTAGAGCTCCTGGGGAACCCAGGGGAGCTGGCTACTGAGCCTTTTGCTGTCATCTGCCTTGAGATCCAAAAGAAAGGGGTGTAATCGGTGTCTCCATGGGGTGCCCAATACTTTTACCTTCCGCTTGGGTGACAGCCCCATCCTACCACTGCACAGACTCCACCACTGCAATAGCCACGGACTTTGCCAAAGTGCCTGGCATCTCAGAGTTTATCATTCCACTAGAGGCAGCACTGGACCTGGAACCAGAAACCT